ACATCGTTTTCTCATTGATCATCACTCTTGACAGCCATTACACTGATTCATTTCTTCCTCTTTTTCTTCTTTTCAGACTGCATCTACTGTCATTCAGCAAACAAGATAATATGTATATATATACATAAGTTATAGGAAAATTGAAAATCATATCGAACGCTGTTAATACAATTATAATGATTGCTATAACAATTGCTATCATCTATAGGTTGCAATAGATTCTAAGTAGAAGAGAATTCCAAGTAGGAAACGAACAAGAAATAAATAGTTTTCTTTTTTTGTTGGAAGATATAAATAAAATATTTTTGTACAAATTGATTTTCAACGATAATTGTGAAAAAAATGATGATGAATCGATATATTTATATGAATTGTTATTTATATTTATTATTATCATTAACAAGTTTTAGTTTTGCTGATTTTAATCTATTTGAAGAAGAAACACGTTTAATACGTACACTTTTAAATGAATCAAAATATTTAAAAAAAGTTCGTCCATCAAAAGAAGTTATTGTTGATATTCGTTTTATTTTTAATCAAATTATATCAATGGTTGAAAAAGAACAAATTATTGTTACGAATTGTTTTGTCGATCAAAAATGGAAAGGTAAGAAAAAATAAACAGTAATAAACACTAGTTTTTCTATTGTAATATCAACAAAAAATTTATAGACCCACGTCTAGTTTGGAATCCAAATGATTTTGGTAATATTACTTGGCTTCGAATGCCATCAACATCTGTTTGGTATGATTAAAATTTCGAAAAATTGTTTGTTTTTTCGATTTTGAAAACTATTATGTAGGTATCCGGATACATTTTTATATAATACAGCTGATAATGCTGGTTTTCTTCTTCCACAAGATTCACAAAATATGATTGTGAGTTATAATGGAACAGTATTTTGGCCATTACCACTTGCTCAATTAAGGACACGCTGTCGAATGACAATTAAACATTTTCCTTTCGGTAATAATTCTCAAGTTTTTAATTACTTTTTAATACTATAAATCTTTTAGGAAAAAAAATCTTCTTTAGTTTCATTATAATTTCAAATAGATTGATAATTCCTTGCATGACATAAAATGATCTTAAAAATCTATAAAAAGCATAGTTATACATAAATTACATATAGTTAAGGTTTTCTCTAAATATATTTTTGTTTACTGAAACATAATCTAAAAGAAATATTGACGTTAAAGGGAGAGAAATTTAGATCTCCTCCTCCCAACAGAGCTGATAGACATGTTAGGAACGGCTTATCACAGACATAACTATAGAAGCATCGCAAATCATGACAGGCATAACTATAGAACTATTACAAATTGTGACAGACCTTATTGATATATGATCATAGATTGTCTATAAATAACATCTCATTATAATATATATGAACTACTTACTGTATTTTTCGAGCATTAAACATAAGGATAATGAAGAAAAATATTGCAAAATATATATTATACAACAATCTCTGTTTAATTAGTGACAACAGCTGCATCGTGTTTTGCATTTTAGTCCCTTATGGATGACACTAATAGAGTTTTTTATATAAAATAAGGTCCATTAATTTTTTTTTCTCATTATTATTTAAAAGAAAAATGATGGTAATAACAATATTACAGTTTTAATTAAAATATTTGATGTACATATGTAAAAAAAAAAAAAAGAACGTAATATTGATGATGATGTACACTAAAATCAAATGATTTGTTTTTCAAAAAAAAAACTAAATAAGTAACATTAATCATACATAAATAAGCTATAGTAGAAAATTTACTTTCGATTTAAGAATACAAAAATAAATAAATTTTAATATTTATTCTCATGTTATTATTTATTATTGTAACATTAGATGAACAAACTTGTGATATGATATTCGGTTCATGGAGTCATACAAGTTCTTTAATACATTATCAATTTTGGGAAAATAAACCTGAAATACCACAATACGTACCAAATAATGAATGGAAATTATTAGCTGTAACACAATCTATTAAAACAGTTGATTATCCAAATTGGGTTGAACCTGATACATTTTATGAAGTTAATTTTACCATTTTAATTGTACGAAAACCTTTACAAGCTATTTATAATACTGTCGTACCAGCATTAATGTTAACAACTTTAACACTTGTTTCTTTTTTTGTAAGTCAAATATAAATAATCATAGTAGAAAAATTATTTTTTATTTTTTTTATTTTAGATTCCCTTTGCTCAAGAAATGCAAATAGGTAAGTTTGATCAAAGAAAAAAAAAGTAGAAAAACTTATAAATTATAATTTTTATTCATAGGTATTAGTATTATGTTGGCTTATTCCGTGTTCAGTTTACGTCTATCTGAAGATGTACCATCTCAAAGTGATAGTGTACATTTAATAAGTCTTTATTTGACTGTATGTATGTTTTTTTCATTATCGGCTATGACTTGGTTTGCTGTGGCAAATAAATTACGTGAAAAGAAGCGTCTACCACATTGGTTTCGATGGTTTGCACTTAATTATGTATCTTGGATTGTATTTGCTAGAAGTATGCATCTAAAAGCAGTACGAGCTGTTAAACTAGAAGAATTAAAAACTTCTTCTATTAGACCATCGATATCAATTGCAAATCCATTACAACAAACACAAACAACAACAACAATAATAAATGAAATACAAAATTCCAATAGTTGTTGTATTGAACGAAATCCATTATCAAGTGGAATTTCAGCAACAGTTCCACTTCTTTTATTTAAAAATCAAACACAACCATCCATAGAAAAATCAATTCATTTAACAACACCGATTCAATTGAATACATCATCTTCTGTTAATGAAACAGTTACTTCAGCAACACGTTCACCATCATTAGTATGGATTCGACGACGATTATCAAATATTCCGTTAACATCACAATCATCATTAAAAAACGGACCATTAGATAAATCTCCTGATAATACTCCTAATAAATCGAAACAATCTCATTTAACAAAATTATTACAGCAATCAACAACAAAAAGTCATGAAAGTTTATATGCTTTACATATTTATAATCGATTAGTTTTTCTGATATTTCTTTCATTTGTTATTATTTTGAATATTTATACATGGTTTTTTTATTCAACAACAGTTCAAACAAAATTACACGATAATAAATCTACATGGTTTTGTTTTGATGAATCTCGTCTTCAAATTGTTAATTGTAGTGATATGTCGTAATATTAGATTGTAAAATTCATCTTCTGTTTTTAAATAAAATCAAAATTTTAGATATTTTCTCCTTTTTGTTTTCGTTACCGAATGAAAAACAACTTCTATAAAAATTTATACGGTCAAAATTTTTATATAATATTAAATAAATTAGAAGTAATCGATAAAGAATTATACTGTTAATATTTTTAAATTTTCTTCTCTATTATTCCCTTGATTTATGCATGTTTTATTAATTAAAAAATAGCGTTTGATATTTTGCACAAAATAATATACTTCTTAGAAACGAATATAGTTTCCTTGATTATGTTTTGGATTAAACGTAATCATATAGTAAAACTAAATGTAGAATGTAAAATTTTTTCTTTTTCATCTTTTTTTTTTGACGGAGTGTTTTATGTCATCTCTCAATGCTCCCTTCGTTGTTAAATGGTCTCAATGCATAGCTTGAATCAGCTCATTTCATAAACTGTAACCTAATGAAAATAAATCAGGTAAATATGTTGGCTAACAGTTCTTCGGGATAAATGCATAAAAATGATTAGTACACCATTTTTCACTCAGGTCATGTGTTCAAGATGACTGGAACTGCTAGCGCTTATCCAAGTTTTTCGGACCTGATTGAAACGTTCTTTGAAACTTTCAATGCAATTTTCTAATCAGAATGGACTAGTCATCGAGAAGATACGAGATGCTTCTTTTCGTCTTTTTGTATTCGATGACTAGTAAACCCTACGCATTCTTCAGACTACTAGACTCCATCGGATCGAAGATCAATCCGATGAGCATTACCTTGTCCACATATATCTAACCACGCTATCATTTTTACCTGAAATTCTATGTTTACATGAATAGTACTTTTCTTTTTTTTTGCCTTTTCCTTGTTCATAGTCTGCATTGCGACGTTCTGAGCATTGTAATCAGCTTATAAAATCAAGCAGTCGAAAGGATGAATTGAAACTACATGACAACAAAAGTAATATTGATAGACAAAATAAAATATTCGATCCAAAAATATAGAAAAGAAAAAATTTTACATTCTGTACTTAATTTCACTTGGCAATTACGTTTAATTCAAAAAACAATGAAGGAAAAAATACTCGTTTTTATAAATTATATCATTTTGTGTGTAGAATTTCCAGTGCTATCTTTCGATTAAAAAAAAGTATTTCAATTAAAGGGATAATAGAGTAGAAAATTCAAAAACACTAACAGTATAGTTTCTTATGGATTAGTAGTTAATTATTCATTACGTGAAATAAAATATTATGGGTTTGCTTGTTTTCTTTTTCTTTATTTTATTATATGCTATCTTGTGTGGGACTATTATTTACTGTAAGAAGTGCGTATGTTAAAAGAAAAAAAAAGAACCATATTTACATTTGCATGTTCGTTTTTCACTTGTTTTAAAAAGATAAATGTGTCTATCATTTGCTTCAAACCATCGACTATTATCATTAAAAATCCTACCTTGGTCAACAAAGATAAAAAGCTTACAACCGTATACCCACAAAATAACCACAGACAGACACTTTTTTCAAATGGACACTGTTTTTTTTATCAAAGTATGTTATCAATAAAATGGAAATCTTCTCTTGCTCTCTCTTTCTCTCTCTCCTTCTCTCGTTTTTGTCGTTGGTGGTCCAAATAATATTAGACAGAAAATAAAAGTGCAAGTGAAATAACTGTTATAGTAGTAGTAATAGTAATCGAAAACACGGTGACGAAGGTAAACCGCTGAAATACCGTTAGTTATTTGTGTAGATTCAAACAAAAGGTTATATTTGGTTTTTTTCCTTCATTCATCAAACATGTACAATCAGTACGAAGAATTACATAGAAGTTCATCACGAACTTATGTTACCTCTGGTGAAACAAAAGTTTCATCACGAAATGGTGGTGCATCTGGTGAAAAATTTGAAACAGGAGTATCATCAACTTATCGATCAGCAATGGCCCCACGTACAATAAGTATTCCACGATCACGTCCAACAGGTTTATGTACTAGTGCTGCTAGTGCAAAAATACGTCAAACTTATTTTACAGCAGGTTCTAATGCCACTTCTGGACAAGGTTTAGCTGCTTTAATCAAATCTTCTGGTGGTGTAGCATTACGTGGTGGTGCAGCGGCTGGTGGTAAAGCAGCTATTTACGGTGCAGCTGAATATGGTGCAGCCGATTTTGGTGCAGCCGATTTTGGTGCAGCTGGTTATGGTGTTTGTGCAACTGCTTTTAACGCAAATGCTTCACCAGCTGCTATTGAATTATATTCAACACGATTACGAGAAAAACGTGATCTTGTTGTTTTAAATGATAAATTTGCATCATACGTTGAAAAAGTACGATTTTTGGAAGCACACAATAGAAAATTAGTTATGGAGTTAGAATTATTACGCAGTCGTCTAGGACAGTAAGATGAAAATTAAAAAAAAACGAAATATAAAAATAAATTATACATGTTTGCATTGGTATTTTTAGAGGTTCATCACATATTAAAGAAATGTACGACTTAGAAATGGCTGAAGCAAATAAACTTATTGAAGATTCAAAACGTGAAAATTCTATTGCATATGGAAGAGCATTAGAAGCAGAAGAAACATTGAAGCGTCAAAGAACACAATATGAAAGCTTATCAATATTAAGAGTAACAGATCAAAAAGAAGTCGATACTCTTAAATTAAGAATTGCTGAAAATGAAGCGGTAAGAGAGCATTTATTTAGTTGAATTTAAGAAAATTCTTTCTTTTTTTTTAATAATAAAATTCGCCATTGAAATTTTAAACATATATGTAGAAAATTTTTATAGAGAAGATTTTATTGTTTACTGAATATATAGAAAGACGTAATAGATTTATAACAACAAAAAAACATATTTTGATATATCATAGTACGCGTAATAATGTTCTTTTTTTGTTATATAGCAAATAGCTTTATATCGTCGTCGTATGTCTGATGTTGAAGATGAAGTCCAATTGTATAAAAAAGAAAGTCAACGTTTACTAGCCGAACTAACTTGTGTTCAAGGTGAACTTCAAAATGAATTATTTCTTAAATCTTCATGTGAATTCGAAAAAGTGGCTCTTGGAGATGCATTGATTAATACCAAACAAACACGTAAAATTTATTTTTCTTTTAAAATAAATTTTTTGTCTTTTTTTTTATTGAAATTTTTTCAATTATTTAGACGAAGCTGAGTTACTTGTGCTTCGTGGTAAACTTGTTTCAAGTGATCTTGATCCATCAGTGTATTTCCGTAATGAATTAGCTCTAGCAATACGTGAAATTCGTAAAGATTATGAAGCCAACTGTGAAAGACAACGTTGTGAATTGTACAATCGTTATAGTCTAACGGTTAATGAGATTTATATTCAAAATCAACCAGTCATGATGAGACCTGAAGGAATTGAAGAACGTCGAGAAGCTGAACAAATGCGTGTTACGCTATTGGACGTTCAAAATCAAAGTAGTTATCTAAGTGCTCAAAATCAACAAATTCAAAATTCTATCACTGATATTCAACGAAAGTTAAAATCTATACGCGAGTCAAGTAAATAGATTGAAAAACAAAATAAAAGAAAAAATTTCTATAAAACTATTTGTTTTGCTTTTTATTTAGATTCTGTCATAATTTCTAGATATGACTCAGAAATAACTGAAGCTCGTGCTTATTTAGCACGTATTGAAGAAACTTATGCTAAAGTAATGGCATCTAAAGTATCACTTGAAAATGAAATTGCAACCTATAGAAGATATCTTGAAAGTAAATATTGAAATATTAATTTGTTTTTTTTTTGATATATTTCATTATATATTTATTATAGGTAAAGATGGTCTTCGAGGATATGTCGAGCGAATTGAACAAGTTGCTCAACAAAAACTTGTTAATCGATCTATTGGTACTAATGCTTTGTATGTTAGTGGTGAAAGAGAAGTAACAAAAGCTTCTTCAAGTAGTTATATTAATACAAGTGGTTCAAATTATGGTAATGGAACGGCAAGACAAAGTTCTTATCTTAGTAGCACTGGTAATCAAGCAGCATCTAAATCAAGTATTACTGAATCATTGTCAAGCAGTGGATTCACAGCACCAAGACGTGCTGAATCATCTCATGCTGGTTTATATCAAGAATCCTCAGGACGTATTGGTACATATCAAGCACATAGTGGTGCAACACAAGACAGTACAAAACGAAGCAGCATAATACGCAGTGGTTTGTCATCATCACGTGAAAGTTTAACACGTAGTTTGGTAGGACAGAACAGTCCAAAACGTACTAGTCTATTACCTGATACTGCAAATTCATCACATGAAAGTATATCATATGAAAATAGTTTTGAAGACGCTACACGAGATGGTGATTATGACACAGTTGGAAATGATTAAATAAATTAATAAGAATAATGAACAATTAAATTTTATGCTCTAGTTGTTTAGTTTTCTCTTTTATTGTTGTCATGTTAAAAAACATTTTTATAAAGAAATGTCTTTAAATATCGATCAATAATAGATTCTTTTTGAATTAATTTTTTTTTCTTTTCTTTAATGAAATAAACTAAATTACAAAAATATTTGATTTTTTCTTTTTCAAATAAGCAGATATGCAGAAATATTATGCTGAATAACTGTTTAGAAAAAAAAAACATCAATCCTTTTTGTTTACACCCACAATCATATATTCAATATAAATGTTTTAATATTTGATACAAGGTTCATTAGTTTCATTCAATCTTGAGAAGTCTTAGTTTTTTTGTTTACAAAATTTCGCAATAAATGTCTACGGTATGACGATGTCGAAATGTTTGTATCAAGATTTCTCTGTACTCTATTTCAAAAATAACTCAAGATCTTACAAGTCTGAATGATCAATACTATTGTCGTTTTCAAAAAGCAATGGGTGTGGTTGTTTTTTGAAGAACTCTAGAATGGCAAGAGGTAAGAACCGGTGATTTTCACCATTTGAAAGAAGAGACATTACAACGTCTTCTTCTCCAATAGTGTATAAGAGAAAATCATTTTAAAATCAACCGTTTTTATAAAACATCGAAAAAATGCAAAAAAAAATATCTGCCGTTGAGATGAAATTTTAACAAAAAGTGATAAAATTTGCTTAAAAATTAGGAGAAATTCATATTTTTCGAGCGAGTAAATAGAGAATTTTATTTATTTAACATTAGAATGTGTGAAGATAATCATTCACCTTATATCTTAAACTATAGATCTGAAGTCCCTCTATCTAAATCACATATCAAAACCAAAATTCATCGCAATGACAGACAGATTTCATGCAGTTTTTGAAATGTTTTGGAGAAATAATTGATTTTAAAACGATTTTATCTCATACAATATTGGACAAAACGACGCTCCGGTTTCATCTCTTTTAAACGGTGAAAACCGCAGCTCACTGACTCTTTCCATTCTAAAGTTATTCAAAAAATTGCCACACCCATTGCTTTTTGAAAACGACATTACAAGAATGTGTTGGATGAGTTATAATTTCGATTTCGATTTCTTGTTTAAGAAACCTAAGAAGAATATCTTTCATTGGTGTTTCACTGTATTATAATAGCTTTTTATAGAGCTTTATCTTGACGATATTTTTATTCTATAATTTATTTTCAATACAATTTTGACCATTAATACGTTTATATGTAACATCACCACCTACTTTAAAAGGTTTATTGATGATAACAAAACGTCTATTTACCACTAAAATGCTGATAAACATTGTTATTTTTCTTATAGGCGTATGTTGACGTCTCCTTGAAGGCTATTTTATTTTGTCTACCGACTATGAATTTCATCATTGTTTTTACACAATATTATGATAAGGCATAAAAGTTCTTTTTTACCAGTGTTAACGTCATATAGATATACGTAAAAATGTGTGATTTTAGTTTATTGACCACCGACTTAATGTAGTTAGTGTATACTGACACATTATCATTAATACTCACTGAAATATTAACATATTGCGACACAAAAAGGTATATTTTGATCAAACTAGAATCTCGATGTGGCAGCGAACGTGGATACCTGTATGATAAGTACTTCAGTGGACTCTGTGTCGGTAGCTAATCATCAGTATTTACACAAATATTGCACATCGCTAGATATATGAAGTCGATGAAATGATTACTAACAAGAGAACGTTCCCAGGTGCCAGAGAACTTTTGAGTCGGGACTTTGCGCATTCTACAGCCCTTAGTGAGTTGTATCTATACTAAAAAAAAATTCGGGTTTCTGTCTTGTTTCTGGGGAGATATCGAGTTTCTAGTGATTTTTTTCTGTAGCACCTCACTTTTGCAGCAAATCTATGTTTTTTAATTTTAACCTGAAACTTTGTCCACATAAAGGCCTCAACTAGACTAGCTTGCATAAAAAATTTCAGAAGTTTTGGACAAAGTCTCTCCGAGATATGGAACTATCAAGGTACAGACCCTTTTCATAGATAGTATATATAGTATACATTTTTTCAATTCTTCGTATCTCGGAAAAACTCTGTCCAAAACTTCTGAAATTTTTTATGCAAGCTAGTCTAGCTGAGGCCTTTATGTGGACAAAGTTTCAGGTTAAAATTAAAAAGCATAGCTTTGTTGCAAAAGTGGAATCCTATAGGAAAAAATCACTAGAGACTCGATATCTTCCCAGAAACAAGACAGAAACCCGAATTTTTTTTAGCATAGATACAACTCACTAAGGGCTATAAAATGTGCAAAGTCCCGACTCAAAAGCTCTTCGGCGCCTGGGAATGTTCCCTTGTAAGATGCTTAATATGTAACCTGTTGGCAAATATGAAAAGGCATGTAACGATAGTATTGAAACAGCTACACTTCGTATCAAACATAATCACAATGAATATGATTTTTTTTCTATTAAAAATAAAAAAATGGCTTTTTCAAATTGAACAAAATCTTCAATTCTTTGTAGATGGAACTAAATAATTAATGATAGCTATGACTATGAAAAAATTATATTACTAAAGCTTTTAAAATTGATATAAGAACAAAAAGAGTTATTTGATTTTAATTGGAAATGACACAGTTATATAAAAAAATGATCTATTTTTTACAAGTTGCTTCCTAATTTGTTTTTTGTTTAAAAATATGTTGCACCTAACACATTATTCAAATAACAGTAGTTCAAACCAGCGGAATAGTCAATGAATACAACTTGAAAACATATCTACAGTGTATTTTGATTGATAAGTCTTAAAAATTCTACATTTTCTTGCAAACAAAAAAGAATATTTTTTTAAATTGATCTTCTATTTTAAGCCACTTAGACATAATTTTTTTCCCATATCAGATAACCGAAATCTGAAGAATTTCATTGTTTCCCTAAGAAGTTATTCGAATGCAAAAGAAAAGCTTCTTGAATTTCTATTTTAAATTCACACATAATTATAAAAAAGAAGTAGCTATAACACGATAAAAAGAATTCTTATAAAAAAAAAAACAATCCATCTTTCTTTACAGATATTTAAGACTAAGACATCTTAGACTAAAACTACCATTAAATTGAAAGAGCTGTTTATGTTCAACTCTTTCTTTTCTCAAACAAGTTTTTCAATTCACAAATGAATTATTCACATAAACAGCAGCAGCAGCACGAAGAAATTAGCATAATGACAGAACTCATATTATTCATCGTAGTTTCTATTGTATACGATATTCTGCATGGCAATGATAATGATTTATTAATTTCTCAATATTAAAACATTATTAAATAATAAAGATACGTGTAAATGATAAACTGTAAAAATTGTTTTCTTCATTGATTTGATATTTGAAATAAATTCAATAGCAAAAACCAAGAAATATATTTTATAAAACAATTCGTAACGTAAAAATTCGTTTTTTTTAACTAGAAATCAAAGTCTATAGCCTAAAATTGCATCGAATTCACAGTCGATCGTACCTAATAAACAAATGCACCTTTTCTTAACGAACTATACTTCTCATGTGAAAGTATTTCACAAAAAAAAGAGAATTATCTATCACATTAAAAACCCAGTTCTTTATTTTGTTTCTCTATGACAATTGTCTAATTACAACGTTTAACAAACATATGTTTTCAATTCAATCAAGGAAAAATTATATTGAAAATTATAGAAAAAAAACGATCAAACGAACAAGAATAGAATGCATTCTTATTAGTTTAATTGAAAACAAATTTAACATATCATTGTTAAAAATCATGTATCAGAAGAAAAAGTGACAAAATTCAATAAGGAAAAGCAAAAAAAAAAAAAGAAAAATTGATCAACACATCATTATAGTGAATATCCGTTACGGAAAGAAAATATCAATGTTACAATAAAAATAGTAAATCAAATAAAATTTTAAGAAAAAACTTTCTTTTATCCATTAAATATTCTTCTTACCTATTTCATATTCTCAGAGATATTGATCATATATAAGGAGATCTCAAATTTATTCGACCAAATTTTTTTTTCGATGTCGTAAACACTAAGAGTGAAACGTCTTTCAATTTTCTACAATATTATTAGATTAAGATACATCAACTGGAATCAAAAGAACAGAAATAACGACTTTTACGGCTTCAGTACTGTTGATGTACCTTAATTGCACAACGTAGGAAAGGTTTTTTTTTTTAGAAAATTGTTTTCTTTATCATTGTACATAAGATTTTCTAGAAACTCTTCTGTTGGAAAACTAGAACTGATATTGTCTTTTAAAATTCGTGCTAAAAATAAAACTCTTTATTTAAATCACTATGTTGATCCTTTCTAGCGTTTACGGAATCGACCCAAAACTATTGATACTAAACCTAGTCGAATAATTTTGAAAATTTTATCAACCTAATCATCATTAAATTTCATTAATATAGTAAAAAACACTTCATATATTCATATAGTTGATTTTTTTTATCAGGTGTAAACATATAGATAGTCTCGTTCAATGAATGTGATTATTAATAGTCTTACGGGAAAATGATCAGACCTCCTAATCATGTCTGTAGAGTTCGAAGACCCTCTGGAAACATAGACAACTTGTCAAATGAAATTGAACAGTAGGTAGTAAGCATGAATTGGTGTATTGTTACGCTACTAATCGATTTATACGCGTGTTTATTTACGAAATGTAATTGACAGTAATCAAAATCAGTTTAGTAAAAACTCGACAAATACAATAGAATATATATATGCCAATGGCTAAATTTTGAATTTAAAAAATTCACCAATAAGCTTTATTTTCATTTTAATACAAGATTTACCATGGGTAATATCGTTGGACAAGAACTAACAATCTCTCTTTTTTCTTTACGTTCTTATTTATCACATTAGTAAAGATTTGCTTTTATAAGAAATATATTTATCTCTAATCGTCAATTATAACTACTCAATTTAAGTTTTTTTTTTG